ATTTCAAATCTGAATAAGGTGAGGAAAGGATAGGAGAGTGTAACCAACACATTCAACATGTGCAGTGCAGCTCCTCGGACAGGGAATGGAAGCCCTGGACAGCAAGTGATACTGGAGGCCTGTTTCAACACAGTGCAAACTGGCTATGCTGATCTCAATATTTAAGTCAGCAGCATCCTACTTTTGGTACAGTTACCTTTATGGAAGAAAACTTAAAGAGCCATATTCAGAGTACAGTCTCTTGTCCTCCAGAACAACATTAGGAATTACTACCAGAAGAAAAACTAACTACTGCTGAGATTATGTTGAGTTTTGTCATGGCTGTACAGCAGCAACAGGATCAGATAACACTTACTCAAAGGCTATCTTAAATTAATTCAATATCAAGAGAAGAAATAAATCTACCATTGGAAAACAATCAAGAGCCTAGTGACACACTCAGAATGCTGGCACTCAAGGACTGTATCAGTAAAGCTGTACACTTAATCAAACAGGCAACATCATAGCCCAGCAACAGAAATCCACAGTTCTTATCACAGGATTTCCAAACTAGAGTACTACATTTTTAATGGCCAGATCTACTTCCAGCAAACACAGATGGATTTGGTGAATTTGGTAAATTTTGACTGTTCATTCCTAAACCAGGATTTAAAATGCTAATCAAACCTCCACAGAAGCCTCACAGATTCAAACAGTAAAACAAGACACAGCGCTGACCTCATCAATGATAATTCTTGATTATTTTTAAGCCTTCACAATGGGAAGGTGGGGCAACTGTTAGCAGACCAGCAATCAAGTGAAATATTTTATAATCTTGATACCATTCTTGGGACCTCTGAAACAAATTTTTGACAGCCTGTATCCAAAACCAAACTGTAGCATATAACGTGACATCAAAAAATGCAAGTATGCACAATCTTCAGTAGTCAAACTAGGAACTTTTCTGAAAACAGGATATTAGTCTGAAGGATGAACAAATGCTTTGAGTAAATTAAAAGTCTGGGGATAACTGAAAAGCAGAAGGACAGAAGAAATGTTAAAGAAGGGGAAAAAATCTATAAATATACAACTGTATCTGGACTCAATAAAATAAAAAGAACATAGTAAAAAACTCAAATGCAAACAACTGACCACAAGGTGCTTTCATTCCAGATGATCTCATTCAAAGTGGAGTATGTTAAAACTAACCACATCTGACAGTACTATGTATAAACAAAGTTACTAAATATCACCATTTATTAAAGTTGTTTCACAGCTTATGCAGAAAACTAATCAAATATTTTCAACAAAGACCTGTAAAATTTGTTATAACACAACAAAACTAACAGAAAACAAGTAACCTTAGTATTTTAACAAAAAATTCATTTTTACTTCAGAATCTAGGTTCCATCAGGCCATGAGTATGGTGTTTTGTCTCCAAATGTGAAAAAAAAAACAAACAAGCCTGACCACATGTTAATTTTAAGAAGTAACCAAGAAAGTCCGTTTCCAATTTTTATTCCATGTTTATGGATTTGGGAACTTACATCTCCATTCTTTGGAAAAGCTTTGCAAATCAATGATATTTCTCACTTAATAGAGCTTGGAGCTAAATGTCAATTTGAGTAATTGCATGTATTTGCTGAATTAAAATTCTTTTTTTATTTTTATGAAATATGGTGTTTTTATTGAGGAGTGTGGTTATTGCATAGCCTCAGTCTGTTTTGCAACTGAAATTCTGAAAAGATAACATATACATACTATCACAGCTCTGACGCCATAGCCAGCATAAAGAACAACATGGATTTAATAAGAGGCATACCATAAAATACATATTGAAGATCTGACCCACAATGATAGGTTTTTTTTCCTTCCCAAAGTCTCAAAACCAAGGCTTCTCGAAATCATTGTCATTTGACTTAATTTAGCCAGGCCTGTCTTGTCCTGCTTAGTTACAAGAGATCTATTAAGGCTTTTCTCTCCCAGTTTCTTTAGGGTAAAGACAGCCTTACATCAGTAACAAAGTGCTTCAAGGCAGAATATAGTAATGGACAAGTAATCTTATAATTCTTACTATTAAAAGAAACAATAACAAAGAAAAAAGTAGAAAAAACCCCAGACACACACACACACAAACCCAACACCCAAACAACTCCACAATTCTGGTATAATTTTAGCAAAAGCAACCACTGCTAAAAATAGAGGCTGTTTTCATTTCCCCCTCCCCAACTTAAACTTCCAAGTGCCGCAATTAATGGGGCTCTGTTCAAATTTTTCAGCTATTTTTTTAAGCATTTATTTATAAACAAAATCACATTCACTTCAGTCTTACTTCTTCACCCAAATTTAGTAAAAAGTTATAAATTATTCCCATATAAATAAGTGCAGTATGCTTTTTATTTCCAGAAAATTCCGTTCTGCAGCCATATTCCAAAATGATACTATAGCTTTTTACAGAAGAACCAGTGCAAGGATTTTAAATGTAATGACATCAACAGAAACTAAAGAAAGCCAAAGGATGTCAATTCTAAAAAGTTAAGTTTATCTAGTTGTTCAAGACATAATTAGCCTTTACTGTAATTTGTCTATAAAGGTAACTTAATGGTCTTCTTTCTGAAAATATAGCTAAAACGACATAACTCCTTACTAGGTCACATATCTGAATACGAATGCAATTATCAAAACATGACCCAGTTCTGAAAAGCAATAAGTAGAATACATTTTAAATGAGATTATAGTATTAAACTCGGATAGAAAAAAAGAACAAAATAGGAGACTGGAAATATTGTTCCCTAGCTACATAAAATTCTGCAGTGGTAAATATTAATTTGAAAATTGTTTCCCCTCTTTAAGTATCTCACAGCATCCTAGTTGTTGCTGGGCAAGAAAAATACCATTATTATTTTCAATTTACAGATTAATTGTTGTGACCAAACACAAATACAATGTCCCTATATTATGTAATGACCTGCTGTAAAATTAATATTCACTTCTATTCATCAGGGCATGACACAATGGGACATCATATGCACCCAACCAATCTAACCTCCTGTATATATTTTTCTGATACTGTCTACCATTTCCTGATGTAGAGAATGGCATAATGAGATCCCACCTGGGGTAATGCATTCTGGGGTCCTCATCACAGGACGGACATTGACCTGCTGGTGTGAGTGCACTCTGGAGTGAGCCAGAGAGGAGGTACACCAAGTTAATCAGAGGGATGGAGCACCTCTCCTATGAAGGCTGAGAGAATTGGGATTGTTCAGCCTGGAAAAGGGAAGGCTTTGGAGTGACACAAATGCAGCCTTCCAGTACCTGAAGGGAGTCTAGAAAAAAGATGGAGAGGGCCTTTTTACAAGAGTTTGTAGCAACAGGATGAGACGAATGGATTCAAACTGGAAGAGAGTAGTTTTTAGGAAGAAATTCTTCACTGTGAGGGTGGTAAGCTACTGGAAAAGGTTGCCCAGAGAAGCTGTGGATGACCCAATCCCTGAAAGCATTCAATGCCAGGCTGGATGGGACTCTGAGAATGGTCTAGTGAAACTGACTGAGGTAAGTAATTCACTGTAAGCCTTTAACATGACACTGAAAATTTGCTTATATATTCAGTAGTTAAATATTCTCACAGGAACTTTAATGAAGATGAAAAAAAAAATCAAACATTTTTCTCAGGGTTTTTCAACCTTGAGGCAAAACAAAGCATCAAATAACTGAACATTTTCCAGTCACTCAGTGAAGAATGCCAAGTCCAAATATTTCTTCAGACTTTAGAAATATTCTCATTTAAAAATTTGAAAATAATTCATTTTTAAAAACCTATTTATTAATAATAAGAAAATCTTGAAACCAGTTGCTCATATTTGAACACTAACAGCAGCTTAAAGTATTTCCAGTAACTTCAAGCCAAGGAAGGCTGAAAAATTATTACTTAATGATAAGAAAGCCTCCCAAAATTCTTATGAAGAAAATGATTGTAACAACTTGTTGCCACTTGCTTGGCAATCCAATAAAAGGACAAGTACTAGCATGACATATAGTATCAGCTGCAGGAAATTAATGATCTATTCACATCATCTAGGTATTTTACAGATTTCGTTTATTTAAACAGCCTTGAGTGTCTACTTCACTTCAAAGACATGATAGTCATTTCAGGACATAAGTATCTTCATGAATTACCTAATCAAAGTTTCATTCTTAAGCAGGTTGTCATTTACCTAAAAAAAACTCCATTATCCATTCATAACATTCTGCCAAATCAAAATGTTACACAGCATTCTTAAAGAAATGCATTGAAATAAATTTCAGAAGCTAAATGTAGAAAATTAATTCCTTAAAACATGGAACACTACACTTCTCTTTTCAACAGATCATATTGACAATAACCTGTTGAAAAGTAATTATATTTAAACTGATCAGCAGAGATGTAGAAATATAATTACTTGTTGGTGAATTCCTAAACTAAAACATGCAGAGAAATTACTATCCCTAAGAACTGGTACAAGTTGATTAAAATCCAAAACTATTAACAGGTTTTACTACACCAAAACATATTACATAAAATTTTAAAAGACCTTAGTAGCTAAATTTATATTAGCAGCTGATGTTTAGCATGCTTCGAAAATATATTAGACTGTACTAATTATAGAAACCCCAAGAATGCAATTGTAAAACCTGAATTCTAAAGCACATTGATGCCACTGAACAATCCATCCTTTATGAAAATAGCAGGACAAATCATCTCTATTTCTATTGAGATTTAGCTTCTCTAGCTTTCTTTCAAAAAGTCTAACTCAACCTGGAACATTTTAAAGGAATAAATGTACCATGATTCATATGTATCAATATACTCCATAATCCTTATGGGTTCTTTCCAATTCAAGATCTGTGACGTGGTACTACACAGTTAGGGATACTCTACTACCTGCCAAGAATTAACTACGCATGTTTATGTCATTCCTTTGATCTAACATTCTCAGGTTAAAGTTACAATAACGTTTTTCAAAGGAGAGATTACTTACCCAATTCATTAATAGTTGCTCTTGCTCTGGAGACAAAAGAACTAACTTCACTTGAGTGCATTTTTGCCCTTTCCTTAAGGTCAGCACCTGTAAGTGACATTTCATACATATGTCAGCAAACTGTAAACAGTATTGTAGACACATTTTAAACAGTAAAATATTTCTTCATTTATAAAAATTTTAAGTCTACTTCTAAACAAGGAGTTTAAATTGGTTGTATAAATTTTCCACAGATTTCAAGGCAAATATGAACTATATATCAAGGAAAGACAAAAACAAAACCAAAAAGTCCAAAACAAACAAACAAAAATTAAATTATCCATAAAAATATTTTCAGTAAGTATATTCTTCCCAGTGACATTTCTTTTTCTCTTATTAAAATAGCTTATGAAGAGTAGCATTTACACTTATAGTTCATCTGTCATACTATTTTATTTTCCCAACTGTGTCACAAAGTCTGATAAATACATGTTTTTCACATTGTACTCTTGTTATTCTCTTATTGGTACATCATACAGTACATAAATTGCATGATTTTACACTAACAGACTCTATATCTAAATAAAAATGCTATGGTGGACCAATTTTTCAGTTTACTTTCCACTCATTTATTTATATTTATTTTGGAATAGGTAACATACCATAACTTTTTTCTGTCAAAAAAAAAAGCCATGTCTTGAAAAATTTTATCTATTTCTTCATGAGTTTATAAAAATTAAGTCTGTTTAATAAACATAGATATGGACAAAAATGTGTTTTTAAAATCTGAGTTATAGGAAAAGCTGACATTTTCTCTCATGAGTGTGTAAAAAAAAAGAAAACTAACAGTAACAGTAATAATAATAATAATAATAATAGCTAAATATAGAAGTTTATCTTTCTTGTAGATGGACAATACATTAAAAAGGCAAAACCTGCATGGATACATTTATTCTCTAAAGAAATGAAACAGTCACAAGGCAACTTGATGTGCATTTGTTCCATTTGGTAAAAATTAACCTATTGATCTAGTCTCTTTGCATGCCTGAAAAGGCTAAAAAAGACAATAAAAGAAAAATGGAAAAAAAAAAAAAAAAAGGTCTACCCTGAGAATGCTATCTATTCAGGAAGATGCACTGAAGCCAGATTAAGTGAAGACTGTAGCTCAGAATTTTAAATTATGCAGTCATAGGTTTCATTTCACCTTCTAACTTTCTGGACTTAACTCAAGAGAGGCCATCCTGACCCACTTCATCAAACATAGTTTTAGGCATACTTTTTTGACAGCATTAGTTGTAATGCTAAACAACTCTAGGCTAGCTCTGTGAAAATCAGTATCTCAATCTGACATTTTCTGGTGGACATCCAGCTGTTGCTTTAAAGTACTATGTCTAATAATGCAGCTCTACATCTTTCCTTCTTCTTCTGTCATAGCAAACCTCATCATTTAACTGTGACTTCTGTTCTCCTTCTATATACGCCAATATAAAAGCAATGAAGCATCAGTCCTGGCTGCATTTGCATATTTCTTGCTAAGTAATGTTAAGCCTAATTTACACCACCAGGCCATTTGCCAAAAACTTCCAAACAACCTTCTAGAATGTGCCCCAACTGAGACAGTAGGACAGGCCACTTGCCCAGACAGTACAAAACAGGAATTATTACAGTCAAGCCTGCACTGCAGAAAAATTGCAACTGCTTCCTTAGTAATTCACAATCAATGCATAAAGCAATCTTGCCAGGAACCCAAAAAGCAAACAAAATTTGCACCCATAAATCTGGATACAACTCCAAATCAAATAAAACTGCAAGCAACTTTCACAAATCCATTTACATATTAAAAGGAGCTTTTGAAATGTCATGTTTAAGAAGCTAAATGGTAAATTGCTTTAGAAGTCACATCAGCAAGGATGAGAATTAAAAAATACCATTTACTTATATCAGTTAAAAGTCTGGATCTAGCTTCTTCAACTCCATTCAAATCACTGCCTATGTAAGAAACTGTATGCTTTATGTACAAAAACCTCTTTGGCTGTACAATCTGACTCAAAACTTCTACACATTGAAATCCTGCTCACTGGGCATTCCCTTGAAAAACATTTTAAAGAAAATATCTAGCATTACTGCAAAGAAAATCTTCTGTCAATACAAGATTAAAGCCATTTTTAGAGTTTGATTTATTCAGACTAGAATACATGCATAGAAAAATGGACTCAACCAAAAGAAACCAACTCTTCTAAAACAAAAAATACACTGTAGACTTCTTCCATCACTTAGAATACACATTTCCTTGAAGACATTTACATAAATGGATTAAATATGTAACAAAAGCCTTGTTTAGACATAGATTAAAATATAGCTGCTAATTTAAAATTAACAATATAGTCTACTTAAAGAAATTTCAAGTACATAGCTGATCTTAGTGCCTTAACCAACTTTTGTAAACTAACATTTCCTTTTTTTATGTGTTTCTCCCTCGCGAGTGTCAAGGAAATGCAAAGAGTCCTTTTGGTAGCCCCTTTTCTATTTTAGCTATCCAAAGAATAGTAATAGTAACTGAAGCTTTTTTAGAGGGAAGAAGTTTAGTCAGAAGCCATTCACTGCACTCCAAAAGAAGATATGCCTTGGCATCCTCTAGGTCACAGGAGATGGAACTGCCACGAACTTAACACTTTTGTTCCTGTTTTAAGATTTGACTGCTCAAAGAACTAATGATGAATTCTGACCCACACAGCAAAGAACTGTTCACATATTTCTTCAAAATCTATTCTTATGTCAGAAGTAGAGAAGGTTTTGTTTCTGAAACTAGCCATGAAGGAGAATGCAAGTTGAACCAGAGACTTCGGCTCTCTCAGATACTAAAACCAAAGACCACCCCTCTCACCCCAGGTTTTCTACTTCAAAGTAGCTGAAAATAGTCTTTGCCTAACTGCTGAAAGCAAAAAAGTAGCTAAGGTTTTCAAACCACAAAAAGTCTAACACAACAAAACTGCGGTTTTTCTATGGGCCACAGCTGAAATCTGTGGACAGTTTCACCTATCTGCTCTCCCACATCCACTCCCAACAGACTCCAGGGACTCTTCTGTGGGTCCATTCCTTCCCGCCACACTGAACACAGAACCCTCTAAGACCTCCTACCCCAGAGGAAAAGGGCAAACCCAAGCTACCAGGGAGCAGAGGCGTATGAACTGTTGCAGTTTTGATGGTACACTGTAATCATGTCCCCACATCCAGTTTGTACTGGAGCATGAATCATTGTTTTCTCCGTATTAAGCTTCCTTAATCTTGATGCTTTGTCCCACTAATTGATTTTAATCCACTCAGAACAGTAACAGAATCTGTGATTTTAGGAGTTATGCTCCCCAGTTCTCACCTCACTGCTCCCAGCATTTTATGAACCACATTTTAAAGCTTGCGAAATGCCATTTTCAAACCATGAGCTGCTACTTCAGGATAAAAGAAAAGTGCCACAGTGAAAGACTACATCAAGACTACCATCAATCACTCCCTCCTACAGCTGTGTTAGCATTCGGTCAGGTACCCGCCACTTGTGAATAAACTCTAATCAATTTAATTCACAGAAGTATCACTTCAAAATTTACACAGCAAACTGGTAGAAGAGAATTTTCCTGATGATTTCCAATGAAAAGGTATGTTTGAAAAATACCAATACAAACAGCAGTTGTTTCGTGGTCAGGTGTTGATTTGGTCTTTCCAGATCAATTCTTGAAACTGATGTAAGGAAGATGCATACTGTTTTAAATACCACCTACACTTCTATTGAGGTTGGTCAATCCAAAAGAAAATCTCTGTAGGATTTTGATCCATCACTTCCTCATTTTCCTCCTCCTATACTGGAAGAAAATAGGAAGGTTAGTTTGTTTGCCTTTTTTAACCTTACTTTCCCTAAATATGAGAACCTTGTCGTAGTAACTCTCTTTTGCATGGTTTCAAATATTTGGCTATTTAATGGCTGGCTGCAATACAGTAATTCTGTCAGTTGAGAGAATTGCTGCAGCATGTGCCTGACTTCCACTTCACAATGATGCCAGAGAAAATGTTTATTTGAGAAAGCCAAGGGCAGTCCAGCAAGATAGGGATATTGTTGTTATTCACCAGAATTTTCACCTACACATATGTATCACAAGGATGGCTTTTAACTCACAGAACACACCAACGGAAATCAATGTTTATAGTGATTACTCTGACCCCATGCCTCCTGCCTTATTTGGATATTTTTACAACTTGCGAATCAGAATTTATATACTGTTGAGAAGCTATACGTTGTGTTTGTAAAATACATTCCAACTATAAGCCCCACTTTCCAAATAACCTAAGTGCCTAGACTATGCAACTTACAAAACACACCCCAAAATCTCTAAATTAAAATGGCATAAAAGGTAATGATTTATATGTAATACTTGAAGAATTTACCTTTATTCAATAAATACTTTGTATTAAAAAGTAGGTATTTTAGAAAGCTGGCACACCAAAATTAAACAGTGGAGTTTGTATCAAGTGTCTAAAGATGCTTGAATTGTCTTTTGTCTGAGAAGAGGAAAGGAAGTGACACATGCACAGGCATTTTAGGTAGAATAAAGCATTAAATTCTTAGCACAGAAGTGTTATTGTGAGCTTGCCCTTTGATGATACCAAAGACAAACGAACCAGCTCTGTCAATACACCAAGGTGTCACCGGGGAGTATCAGAAGATACTGTCTTGCATACTATATCCTATTATTCTCTATCTTGTCAGCAAGCGCTAAGAACACTGCAAACAGCAAAACACAAAGGCACCACCAATCCACTCAAACAAGTCAAGGAATTTATGAAGGAAACTCACAATGCTTTCACCTAGAAGTACAAAACACACACGACCTCATTGATTAAAATGCTATGAATTCCTATGAACCTACATCTTATTCCCACACAATGCATTTAAGCAGACTGTGAATTAATATTCGTCCTTCTCCTGAAGGAGAATATTCACATAATGAACAAAATAAAACACTGAGGGCGAAGGGTCAACTTTGACAGACATTATAGATTAACTCTAAACCCCTGAAAAATACCATGTATCATTAAGGTACATGGAAATATCTTTATTT